GTACATTCCTAATAATTATGTGTGTAGACAGATTTTATTTTGGAATTATACAGTAGCTACCAGACTCATATTTGCACTTGCAACTCCTGATTGTCATGTGTCTAAATCCCTATTTAAAAGGACTGTGCCTGCTAAGTATTAACACTATGCAGTGCTACACAGTTACTGCCGTGTTCCCAACCAACTTCCAAAGTTCCAAACTGCAATTGCACCTACCATCAATTACTCAATAAGTACCTTGGTCCATGTTTATACCCCCCCAACTTGAGTACCACATAACGTATTCTGTACATTAACTAATACATACATACACCAGTATGTACATAGGAAGTATATGGAAATAGGACTCTAAAATAAAGTGCACAATTTTACATAAACATTACACAGGAATTACCAGTTCTTCAAACTTTGTAAGCACTGTTGTGGAGAGCAATTTAGCATTAACAGTCCTACACAAGCAATTGAAAAATAGTCCTCTTTTTATTAGGTAAGGTTAGGACTTACCAAGCGTACCGTACATACCAAGTGCAGTATGTGTCTTGTTTGTTACCACAAAATACCACATTTTTCCGTAGGTGCTACACATTTACCATGTACATATCATTAGTATATACAGTTATGTGTCTTATTAGTTACCATATACAGATACTGTAAGGACATGCCTGTTTGTACCCACTTGTACTACATATTTACCATGTATATACATTAGTAAGTACAGTAAAGTATCTAATTAGTTACCATGTACGGGCACTACCTGTAAGTACCCACACTTGTCTGTATGTACAAAATAATCACCATGCATGTACGACTGTTAAGTACAGCCGTGTTTCTTATTTGTTACCATGCACATACAGTACACTTCAGGTAAGTACCTTGTGTTACCACTCATTTGCTTGTAGGTACAAGATATTTGCCATGTATGTACCAGGAAAGTACACGTACTGTAAAATAAAGTACTACCCTAAATATTTTACTAAATATAATCAAACATATTGATGTTGAATAAAAAATTTATGCACATGATATATGTCAAGTACTCAGTTACTCTCCACTTTTTTCTGTTCCCTTTTTATAGGTTTACCTGCTCTCGTTGTAGCAATTTCTGTTGGATTCACCAAGGCAAAGGGATATGGCACTGTTAACTAGTGAGTATGATCATGATGAAGTTGATAAGTCATCTATTTTTGCTTATATAATTCCTAGTGCTTTTAATGACCAGTCTGTCCCTGCATTGTATCCTTTAAGTGGACACTTTAAAATGTTAAAAACAACATAAGACAACCACATTATCTGATTTTTTTCCCCCTCTGGTCTCTTTATCCTTTTCTTTCTTCTGTCTCTCTCGCTCTCACTCCCTCTTTCTTTTCCGCTCTTGCGTCTTGTGTTAGTTGCTGGCTGTCTCTGGAAGGCGGACTGTTGTATGCATTTGTGGGACCGGCTGCTGCTGTCGTCTTGGTACAATTTCTTTCTCTGTTTGAATTATTCACAGAAATCTTCTGTCCCTCATTTTCAGATTCAATGTTTAATGTTGCTAGCATCACTGCACCCAAATATAAGATTTGACAACAAATAAACTACCACAAGCTCTTGTGAATAAGAATGCAGACAGTTCCAGGTTTTATTCACATAACTCCACAACATAATATCCAGCAAACACATGTTTTAGTAGATCTGTTCAAACACAGCGTATGCTAAGTGTGCCAAGTGTGGACATTGTAGTCATTACACTGCTGCAGATTAATTAAAGGGGTCATATGACGTTGATAAAAAGAACATTATGTTGTGTATTTGGTGTAATGCAATGTGTTTATGCGGTTTAAGGTTCAAAAAACACATTATTTTCCACATAATTTACATTATTGTTGCTCCTCTATGCCCCGCCTTTCTGAAACACGTCGATTTTTACAAAGCTCATCGTTCTGAAAAGCGAGGTGTACGCTGATTGGCCAGCTATCCAGTGCGTTGTGATTGGCTGAATACCTCAAGCGTGTGACGGAAATTTTACACCCCTTAACATACTGTGATGCCGTCTCCCGGCGCGACGAGACAAAAGCAATAACTTTATAGAACAGCCTTTGAGCACAGACCCATTGTAGGCTACTCTGCAGGTTCAGGGAACAGTTCTCCATAAAATGCGTCACACAGCGTCACACACTGCAGGCTTGAGTGAGGAACAGTAACACTCCGAAGAGAAAGGAAAAATTTAAATCGCATCATATGACCCCTTTAAACAAGATCTGGGCTTAGACTATATTAACATGGATTACAGCGGTATCTATTTTATTCAGTAACAGATTTCATTTTGTCAGACAATATAATGGTGAATTTTCTATACAGTCTCATTAGAAAAGTTATTCTACTGCAGTTTTTCTCTGTTCAACCAAAACATTTCTCAGTTGCGTTCTTTTAATTGTTTCGATTATTCTGTACATCTTTAAAATTGTGTATTAATAATACAATTTAAAATGTAAGGTGTGTATTTAGTACCATATTAGTATTTGCTGTAGTGTCAAAAATTGGTATTTCAAAATCCTGAAATATTGGTATTATCACAATCCTAGTGCAGAAGTAGCTTGAACAACCATATTCAGATATTTTAATGACAGTACTGTTAAATACAACAAAACCACAAGATAAATGAGGCTTTACAGGAACATCCTAAAATGGCACATTGGAGACTATGTTTCTATTCTGAGACTGGGCTGGATCTTAATATGCACGTGTTCACCTTTCTCTTCTCTTTTCACCAGGTTAACATGGTTATCGGGATTCTGGTTTTTAACAAACTGGTGTCTAAAGATGGCATAACTGATATGAAACTCAAGGAGAGGGCCGGGTATGCCTCACAGCACTCATTCATCTCATATGCTGACCTCTAACCAGCTCTGAGAAAGAGATTCATTGGCCAGACCTTTCATAACATCTCTCCCCCCTTCCAGAAGGACACAAATTGGCATGAATGAATTAGAAAAATGTCATACACTCTTTTTTGTCGTGTTTTCCACAAAAAAAAAAA